TTTCCAGAATAGACCACATAATAGGCCATAAAGCAAGCCTTAACAGAATCCAAAGCATCGAAATATTACAAAGCATCTTTTCTGACCATGAAGCCATAAATGTAAAATCAATAACAGAAAATGCAGGGGAAAAAAATCAGACACATGGAAACTGAACACCACCTTGCTCAAAAACTACTCGGGTATAGAAGAAATTAAGGGTGGAATAAAGAAATTCACAGAATCAAATGAGAATGAAAACACATCCTACCAGAACCTTAGGAACACAGCAAAAGCAGTGCTCAGAGGTCAATTTATAGCAGAAATACATATATCCAAAAAGAAGGGCCAAAATCAGAACATTAACTCTACAACTCAAACAAATAGAGAGCAGGAGAAGAGGCCCTCAGGCACCAGAAGAAAGCAAATAATAAAAATTAGAGCAGAATTAAATGGAATAGAAAAAAAATTGAAAGGGTTAAGCAGACCAAAAGCTGGTTCTTTGAAAAGCTCAACAAAATCGATAAACCATTGGCCAAACTGACAAAAGAAAAACAGGAGAGGAAGCAAAGAACCCAAACAAGAAATGAAATGGGTGATACCACAACAGACCCAACTGAAATTAAAAGAATCATAACAGAATACTATGAAAAATTGTACTCCAACAAATTTGAAAACCTAGAGGAAATGGACAAATTTCTAGAAACACACTACCTACCTAAACTAACACAAACAGAGGTAGAACAACTAAATAAACCTGTAACAAAAGAAGAGATGGAAAAGGTAATTTAAAAACTCCCAACAACAATAACAAAAAAGCCCTGGCACTGACAGTTTCACGTTCTACCAAACTTTCACTTAAGTGTTAACACCACTACTACTAAATGTATTTCAGAGCATAGAAAAGGATGGAATACTCCCAAACTCATTCTATGAAGCCAGCGTAACCCTGATACCAAAACCAGGTAAAAACACTACAAAAAAAGAACATTACAGCAATATCCCTCATGAACATAGATGCAAAAATCCTCAACAAAATTCTCGCCAATAGAATTCAACAACATATCAAAACAATAATTCACCATGATCAAGTGGGATTTATACCAAGTATGCAGGGATGGTTCAACGTTAGAAAAACAATCAGCATAATCCATCACATTAATAAAACAAAAGACAAGGACCACATGATCTTATCAATCGATGCTGAAAAGGCATTTGACAAAGTCCAATACCCGTTCATGATAAAAACTCTCAACAAAATAGGAATAGAAGGGAAATTCATCAGCATAATGAATGGCATTTATACAAAGCTAACAGCCAACATCATCCTAAATGGAGAGTTTGAAAGCATTCCCCTTGAGAACAGGAACCAGACGAAAATGCCCTTTATCCTCACCCTTATTCAACATCATGCTGGAGGCCCCAGCCAGAGCAATTAGGCTAGAAAAAGAAATAAAGGGTATACAAATTGGTAAGAAAAATTATCCCTATTTGCATATGATATAATCTTATACACAGAAAACTCCGAAGAATCCACAAGAAAACTACTGGAACTAATAGAAGATTTCAGCAAAGTATCAGGATACAAGATAAACATACAAAAAACAATTGGATTCCTCTACACCAACAAAGAGAACTTTGTAGAGGAAATCATCAAATCAATGCCATTTACAATAGCCTTCAAGAAGACAAAATACTTAGGAATAAATCTAACCAGAGACGTAAAAGACCTATACAAAGAAAACTACAAGACACTACTGCAAGAAACCAAAAGAGACCTACATAAGTGGAAAAACATACCTTGCTCATGGATAGGAAGACTCAACATTGTGAAAATGTCTGTTCTACCCAAAGCGATCTACAGATACAACACAATCCCATCCAAATTCCAGTGGCATTGTTTAATGAAATGGAGAAACAAATCACCAACTTCATATGGAAAGGGAAGAGGATTCGGATAAATAAAGCATTACTGAAGAGGAGCAAAGTGGGAGGCCTCATACTACCTGATTTTAGAACCTAGCATACCACCATGGTTGTCAAAACAGCCTGGAACTGGTACAACAACAAGTACGTAGACCAGTGGAACAGAACTGAGAATCCAGACGTAAATTCAACCACCTCTGAGCAGCTGATACTTGACAAAGGCCCGAAGTCCATTAATTGGGGGAAAAGACAGTGTCTTTTCAAATGGTGTCTTAACAAATGGTGCTTGCATAACTGGATATCCATCTGCAAAAAAATGAAACCAGTCCCATACCTCACACTATGCATAAAAACTAACTCAAAATGTATCAAAGACCTAAATATAAAATCTAAACAATAAAGATCATGGAAGGAAAAACCGAGACAATGCTAGGAGCCTAAACAGAATACGAAGCGTAACAATGCACAAGCACCAGAAGAGAAACTAGAAAACTGGGAGCTCCTAAAAATCAAACACTTAGGCTCATCAAAAGACTTCACCGAAAGAGTCATAAGACAACCTACAGACTGGGAAAAAATTTTTGGCTACAACAAATCCAGTCAGCATCTAATCTCTATAATCTACAAGATATTGCCAAATCTCAACAACAAAAAGACAAATAACCCAATTAAAAAATTGGCAAAGGATATGAACAGGCACTTTGCCAAAGAAGATGTTCAGGCAGCTAACAGACACATGAAGAAATGCTCACGATCATTAGCCATTAGAGAAATGCAAAACAAAACTACAGTGAGATACCGTCTCACCCCAACAAGGCTAGCATTAATCAAAAAAAAAACCCACAAAATAATAAATGCTGGAGAGGTTGTAGAGAGACTGGAACACTTATACACTGTTGGTGGGAATGTAAAATGCTACAACCACTTTGAAAATCGATTTGGCACTTCCTTAAAAAGCTAGAAATAGAAGTACCATATGATCCAGCTATCCTGCTCCTTGGAATATATCCTAGAGAAACGAGCCGTCACAGGAATAGATATATGCACACCCATGTTCATTGCAGCACTGTTCACAATAGCAAAAAGATGGAAACAACCTAGGTGCCCATCAATGGACGAATGGATAAACAAATTATAGTATATTCACACAATGGAATACTTTGCAACGATAACGAACAATGAATCCGCGAAACATCTCATAACATGGATGAATTTGGAAGGCATTATGCTGAGTGAAACTAGTTGCAAAAGGACAAATATTGTGTGAGACCACTATTGTAAGAACTCAAGAAAATGTTTAAACATGGTTACGAGGTTGGGGAGGGAGGGAGAGGGGTATTCACCAACTAGATAATAGTTAAAAATTATCTTAGGTGAAGGGAAGGACAATACACAGTACAGGGGGACTAAACCAAAAGCTAAGAAGTTTCCTGAATACAACCAAACACTTGGAGGGACAGAGTAGTAGGGGTGGAGGTCTGGGGACCACGGTTTCAGGGGACATGTAGGTCAATTGGCACAACAAAGTTTATTAGGAAAATGTTTTGCATCCCACTTTGGTGAGTGGTGTCCGGGGTCTTAAAGGCTAGCGAGTAGCCATCTAAGATGCATCAGTTAGTCTCCACCCACCTGGAGCAAAGGAGAGTGAAGAACACCAAAGGCACAAGGAAATATTAGCCCAAGAGCCACATAAACCAGAGACTCCATCATCCTGAGACCAGAAGAACTAGCTGGTGCCAGGCTACCACCAATGACTGCCCAGGCAGGGAATACAACAGAGTCCCTGAAGGAGCAGGAGAAAAGTGAGGTGCAGAATTGAAATTCTAGTAAAAAGACCAGACTTAACGGTCTGACTGAGACTGGAGGGACCCCAGAAGACGTGGCCCCCGGACTGTCTGTTAGCCCAGAACTGAAACCATTCCCAAAGCCAACTCTTCAGACATAGATTAGACTGGAGTATAAGACATAAAATAATACTCTTGAAGAGAGTGCTTCTTAGGTCAAGTAGATACATGAGACTAAATGGGCAGCTTCTGTCTGGAGGCGAGATGAGAAGGCAAAAAGGGACAGGAGCTGGTTGAATGGACACGAGAAATCTGGGGTGGAAAGGAAGAGTGTGCTGTCACATTATAGGGAGAGAAACTAGGGTCACATAACAATGTGTGTATAAATGTATGAGAAACTAACTATAAACTTTCACTTAAAGCACAATTTAAAAAAAGAAAGATGAGGGTGTATTTGAGAGTTGTTCAAACTATTACAGGCCCACAGGATAATGGCAGGGGGCTTTGATGGAGGGTGTGCAAAGTACAGAAAGAGATGTCTGCCCTACTCTGGTGAGCGACAGCACGAGAAAAGAGAACGCTGGAGTGAAAGCTTCCAGGGTGATAGGCATTTTCCAGAAGGCCAAGTTCAGGCAGGACTTCCAGGCAGAGGGAGCAGCCTGGGCAAAGGCAAGAGGGCCGGGCATGTCCTGGGCACTCAGGTGGTTCAAGGAGCAGCGTTAACTGGGTTTCCACTGTTCCTGTGATGTGGTTCTTAGAATTTGTTATGGAATCCCCTGTGCTCCCCTTCTGTACTTTTATCCTGTTCGGATTCTTCCAGGACTTTCTGCCACATTTCACAGCTCTGTAGCTCTTATCAAGCAGCTAGGAGGCACTAAAGTTTTTAGCAGAAGCCATCAAGACTGCCCTGGCTCCTTCTTTCCCTCCTCTCCTGCCACCTTGGCAGGCTGCTGCCAGGCCCACCCTTCCGTTCATTCCACTTACTCAGAGCTTAGCACACGGAAGAATGTTTGTTCAGCCTTAAGGAAAAGGAAATGCTATATCTTCGCAAAGGATAAAAGAGTTTGGGAGCCAGCAAGGAGAAGGAAGACTCATGAACTCTTCTCATCCCTGCTCTGTCATTCACCTGCATCTGCATGTCTCCCTTTGCAGTCTGTCGGGTGTTCAGGGGGTGGGTGTGCAGGTTACCTTCCACTCCCGACCTGCCCGGCTCTCGTCCCGTCAGCCTGCCTGTCTCACACATGCAACTGCACGCGTGTGTGACCACATCCTCCTGCCCACGTAAACGTCCCCCAACCTTTCCCTCCCCAGATAAGCCCTGCGAACTCTACTGCTCGCCCCTCGGGAAGGAGTCCCCGCTGCTGGTGGCCGACAGGGTCCTGGACGGCACGCCCTGCGGGCCCTATGAGACGGACCTCTGCGTGCACGGCAGGTGCCAGGTGATGTGCTTTTCCCGTGGTACGGTGGGGGCTTTGGAGAGGAGGCTGCCCTCCCCCAGAGTGGGCTTGGGGTGGGCAGTGAGGCCTCGGAGCCTTTTGGGGAGTGGGTTTTCTCCAGAAGGCCCTGGTGATGCTGCCCCCTGCAGCCAGTACTGGGATGCAGCCCCGCCCCCAGCAGCTGGTGGAGGGTCAGGGCCACCTGGGGTCTCTGCCCCAAGTCATATTGACCAGGAGCTGAGGTGGCTGAAAGTAGAGGCCACATAATCATCTCAAAAAAAAAAAAAAGGAGCTTCAGTCATCATGACAAAGGAAAAAGCAGGTTGACTATGGAGATGAGACTAAAATGTATATAAACATGATCTTGGATAAACAATACCCTGTTAGATCCAAAGGATATAGCAGAACTCAGCAGCTTTCTCTGCAGGTAGGATCCAGCGAGGTGGATGTGCCTGGTTTGGGGGAGCACTGCACCCACTGGAATACAGTCCCCAGACCCATCCTAATGGGACTCGTTAGAACAATGATAAATGTCATTTAAAAAGGCAAAGGAAGGTGAAGGAAGAGAGAGAGAGGAGAGAAAGAGGGAGAGGGATTGGGAGAAAGGAAAGATGAGAGGAGGGAAGGGATGAAGGGAGATAAGGGAGGGAGGGAAGGAGGAGACTCACGGTCCACCTGCATTTCCACCTGCATGAACTGAGGGGCCCATGGCACCCAACCCTCCGCAGGCACCCTGCACTGATGTCCAGAGGTGGCTGAAGGAGTGTCCTTCTGCTGATGTACGGCTGCAGCATCTGGGATGTTGTAGGGAGTCCAGAGACTGCCAATATTCAGGCCTTGAGGGGCAAGGCCCACATGATACCACCCTGGATTATGTCCCAGTGTGGCCTGTTTCCTGATGGCCCAGCTCAGCTAGCTCTGGAGAATGCTGCAGGCAGGCCCCCAGAGCCCTACCTCCACCCCAGGTGCAGACCCCCATTCCCTGTCCTCCCCTCTGTGCCCATCAGAGAGCGAGAGGAGATGGAGGGCTAGCCAGCAGGCAGAGCAGGGTCAGGAGTGCCAGCATGGCACCAGCCACCCTTCGTCAGAGGACAGTCAGGCCTTTCCTCAGATCTTAGCTTTTCCCCATTTGGCCTCCATTGACTGGCTCCTGGGTGAGGTAGAAGAGTTCCCTCACCCAGGGCCACTACAGGGGCCTCTTGTTTTCATTAGCAGAAGAGAACTGTCTCTGGAAGCTGTGTGGCTGTTGATGCTTCAGGGTCTCCACAGCATCCGAAGTTGATGCCCCAAACCCAAGTCTGCTGCTCTGTTTCAGGAAATATCACACACATTGTAAATTCCAGGGCGGTGGAGGGGCACAGAGGAGAGAGCCTGCTGTGGCCTTGTCTCGCTGCAGGTATACCAGGGAGCAGCCCCCGTTCTTGGGCTGTGCTCCCTCCAGCCACTGTGCTCTCTGCCTTCCCGATGCTGAGAGAGTCATGGGTGCTCAGTGTTTGGGTGAGTGTGCGAAAGGCAGAAGACACAGACACAGGATAGCTTCTAGCATAATTCCTGCAGCAAGCCGTTCTAGCCCTAGTGGGTTTGTTTTTTTCTGCAAAGTCCTAATCAGCCGGAAGCTGGGATTCTTCGAGGGAAAGCTAGACAGTGTCCAGACTCCCTCGGCCATGCCTGATTTAATTATCAAATACAGACATGTGTGGTAGTAAGCGCTTGAGCCCGCAAGTCTTGGCAAGCTGTCCTCCCAGGGAAGGATGCAGAGACCGATGACAAGGGGCACGTGGGGTTGAGCAGAGCCCTGCCCCTTGGGCAGTGTGAACAAAGCTCTTATCGTCATTGCAAAAACAAGCAGTTACTGACGCTTTTTCATAAGCTGTTGCCAGCCAAGTACAATGCCTATTTCCTTCCTCAGTGACACCCTCGGGTGGGCCATCCTGAATATCTCGTTCCTTAGTGCTACTATAACATGCCTCACGTTCCTCCGGTAACAGCTTCCCAAGTGAGAGAACTTTACCCTTTAGAGTAGGGCCAGCCAGCCCACCCGCAGCATCTTCTGTTGCTCTCTCGCCAACATGGAGGCCTTCCTAGGAATCCTGAAATTCTCTGGCGAGCACAGTCTGTATTACTGGCTGGATATAATTTCAGCTCTAAGTGATCAGTGTCCATGGCCCTTTACATGACCTTGGTACCAGTCACATCCTTTGCAACTAGGGAATCTTCCCTGTGCTGTGGAGAAATCTTCAGGTCTTTGGTCAATGGAACAAGGGCGAGATGCTGCTGAGGGTATTTGAATAGCTGTGAGTCTGTGGTCTTCAGCTCACCATCAAATCATAGCCTGCCCTGTCCTTGGGTGTGATGGGAATGACCTTGGAACACATGCCCCCTCCCCCAATCCGTTTCAGTGCCTTTACCACCGTCATCATCGTGGCATTTATTGGCTGGTACACTGAGCCTAAGAGGGCAGTAGTGGTGGTTCTGTGGTAGAATTCTCAACTCCCATGAGGGAGACCCAGGTTCAATTCCTGGCCGGTGTACTTCATGCACAGTCACCACCCATCTGTCAGTGGAGGCTTGCATGTTGCTATGATGCTGAACAGGTTTCAGCGGAGCTTCCAGACTGAGACAGACTATGATGAAACGCCTTGACGATCTACTTCTGAAAACCAGCCAGTGAAGACCCTATGGATCACAGCCAATCGTGGGAACGACGGAGGACTGGGCAGCATTTTGTTCCATCGTGCATGGAGTCGTCGTGAGTTGGAGGCTGACTGCATGCAGCTAACAACAACAGCAACGACCCCTCAAGGGGCACCTTCCACGATGCCCTAAGCCGCCTCAGCCAGTTAGTGGAAGCGCTGTCTCCTCTGATTCTTGCCTCCGATGGCCCGCTGCCTCCAGGCAGCCCACCAGTCCTAGCAGAAGTGCCACAGTCCTTGTAGGTGCGGCAGTACCTTCCTGCAAGCACCTCACAGGATCAAAACTCTGAGAAATAACGTGCTTTCTTAAGGACATTAAAAATACTATCTGCAATTTTCTAGTACTACTCTTTCCTCAGAGAGAAACTCTAAAGATTAACCTTAGCCCATTTGTAAGTACCTTCTCTCAAAAAATCCAAATTATAAAAGTCATGCTCTGTTAGTTTCTTAGTGCTGCTGTAACAGAAAACCACAAGCATGTGGCTTTAATGAACCGGAATTTATTTTCTCACAGTTTAAGAAACTAGAAGTCTGAATTCAGGGCACTGGCTCTAGGGGAAGGCTCTGGGGAAGGCTCTGGGGAAGGTCCTTGTTTCTTTCGACTTCTGTTCCTTAGTTCCCTGGCAGTCTTCATCTGGCCTGCAGTCTATCTTCCCATCTCTGTGCTTGCTTGCTTCTCTGCCTAATCTGCTCTTGTATATCTCAGAAATGATTGGTTTAAGACACACCCTGCACTGTTAGGGCCTTATTAACACGACAAAGCAAACCCTCTTCCCAAATGGGATTACATCCAAAGTATGTTGTGTTTTTTTTCAGCTCATAGCGACCCCATGTGACAGAGTAGAACTGCCCCATAGGGTTTTCTCAGCTATAATCTTTACAGGAGTAGATGGCCAGGTCTTTCTGCTGAGGAGCCACTGGGTGGGTTTGAACTGCCAACCTTTCAGTTAACAGCTGAGTACTTAACCATTGCACGACCAGAGCTAGGTGTGGGGGTTAGGATTTACAACACATATTTTTGAGGGACACAATTCAATCTATAAGACATGCTTAATGAAGTTTTATAATCAAAATAATTGTTGTTGTTAGCTGCCATTGAGTTGACTCTGACTTATGGCGACCCCTAGTACAACAGAATGAAACACTGCTTGGTCCTGTGTCATCCTCACAATCACCAGCATGTCTGAGCCCATCATTGTGGACATTGTGCCAATCCATCTCAATAAGGGTTTCGTTGCGCTCGCTGGCCCTCTGCTTCACCAAACGTGATGTTCTCCTCCACCTCTTGATCCCTCACAATGACATGCCTTCAAAGCAAGCAAGTAGAACAGGGTTCTATTGTGATCCATAAGGTTTTCATTGCCTAATTTTTAGAAGTAGACAGCCAAATCTTTCTTCCTAGTCTGTCTTAGTCTGGAAGCTCCACTGAAACCTGTCCACCATGGGTGACCCAGCTGGTATTTGAAATACTGGTGGCATAGCTTCACAGCAGCACAGCAACATGCAAGCCACTGCAGTACGACAAACTGACAGACAGGTGGTAGAATCAAAATTTCCCGTTATCATGGAGTTGACTCCAACTCACGGTAACCCCATGTGTGTCAGAGTAGAACTGCACTCCATAGGGTTTTCAAGGGCTGTAATCTTACGGAGTAGATTGCCAGGCCTTTTTTCCACAGTGCTGCTGGATGGATTCAAACCACCAACCTTTCAGTCAGTAGCCAAGTGCAAACTATTTACGCCACCCAGGGCTCATTGAATCAAAATTAGGTATACTTACATAAGATCACAACAAATTAAATACAAATACAATATTTATTCCTAGTTATAATAATTGCCAAATGGAGTGTTCTGGATTCCTGTAGTACTTGTGAATGAGTAAGACAAGGAAACATGATTAAAGAGAATAATAATAGTAATAACCAAAAACTCTCAGGGGCCTGTATCTGTATCTATTCGCTGATATAATTACATAATTATAAAGGATAAAAGGTAAATATCATCCACATTTTATGTAAGGCAGCACTTGCAGAAATGCTGTCATGACTTGCTAGCTTTTTCCTCTGTTCCCTTAGCTATAAATTTGGCTATTTTGGGGTGACAGTAGGAATTCTGAGAAGTTCTGAGGAACACAGTGGCTAGTTGGTAAGGGATGGAGGGATGAGAGGCTCCACAATGACATTTTGAGTCAATCCCCCTCAGCTGCAAATAGCAGGCTGATTCAAACCATAACATGAAACATGGAAATAACATTTTACTCTGTTTTTATGAGGACTGAGTTAAGTTTAATCTCAGTGAGTCACAAATTAC